AGTAAAAATGAACCAGGATCTAGTTCCATTTTACTTAGCCAGAAGATCACATATCCTCCTCAATGGGTTCAATTTTACTGGGAAATGTCCAAATTATTTAGCATCAGTTTCTGGGTAAGGGGTTTTTGTTGTTGTTGTTGTTGTTTGTTTTGTTTTGTTTTGTGTTTGTGTTTTCCTGAAGAATTCTCATTAAGGTGCTATTCAGACCTGACCCTGATTATCAGATATATGAATGTAACCTCAAGTTCTTTGACTACTTATGGATGAGATTGGAAAATGTCAGGTTGCAGTCAGTCCACAAAGAACTGTATTTGCATTAAGTGGCTTGTGATTGTGTGTGGTACCCCACTGCTAGCCCATCTCTATGGATAATTTCTAGCAAGTTCAGACTCAAAACAAATAAAGTAACCTGACAGTTCGTAAGGGTGGGAAAGGATGTTGGTTCATGTCCCTGAAGACTAATCTCATAGGAAGGCCATATATTATATGAAAAAGAAATGTAATTTAACCTTTCTTTTCCAGAAAAGGCAGCCAAAATTTTTATATTGTTCCAGGAAGAAAATGATCTTTCTGCGATTTCCATTTACTCCTTCCTCACCAAAGCTATGATTTGATTCTTTTGGAGACGGAAATGGTATTGCCACATTTTCATGAAGTGAAGCTTTAAATAAAATACAAAGAAGTTTCAGTGCACAAACCCCCAACCTCTCTCTTCTTTCCCAGATGAGATTCATTGTTGTCTTTAGCTTCTCTTGTTCATGGTTTGGGCTTCCTGATTACTACATCATTTGTTTCTCTGTCTTGTCTGACCCTTCACCACAACACTGAAGTATTCACTGTAATAACATGTGGGCCAAGATGAGCTCATGCTGATCAGCATAGAGTATGTAATTCCATAGGAATTTTATGATAATTGAGCAATAATTCTTGTATACCTATTAAACAATTTATCTGGAAAGCATATTAAAGTAACATATTTCCCTGAGGCTCTTAACATTATAAATTTTATTATAACATTATCTATTTTTAGGAATTCTCCCTCCTTATTGAAGACTTTCAACTTATTAGCTCAATAGCCTTGACAACAAAAGGATGAAAGAGGTAGAGATGTTCAAAAAGCTATTTTTAGTTTAAATCTAGGTTTATTACCAGCAATATGTCCCTATTGTGCCGCTTACAACAGCCCAAATAATCAGAGTATAATAGATAGATAACAAAACTGAAAGATAATTATTTGCTAAATATACATCTCTCTATCATTTTCCCTATCCCAGTCTTCTTTATATATGTATTAAGACACAGATGCAGTGTTTAGTTCTGACTAAGCATTTTGTTTTCCTAGTTAGTAGTCTATTGTGGATTTCTGTGTTTTTCTGAATAGGTTGCAGAAGGGGGTCTCTATTCAGAGTAGGTCTCAGAACAGTGAAAAAGGAATTAATATGCATTTATTCCCAAATATAGAATAAAACAAGTTTTACATACATCCTCTTACTCAATACTGATAACTACCCCCATGAGCTGGTTCATGTGGCCTCTTAGAAATGAGCAAACTGAGGCTTTCAGAGGATAGTATATCTAATCCACTGTTAATAGTTTTATCTGCTTAAGCGCAACAATTCCAAACAAAGCTTTATGCAAAAGAAATTCTTACTTTCTCCACTCTACCCTTTTATGGAATCATTGCTACACGCACATACACAAAAATACAAGCGTGTGTTTGCACATACTTAGGATACTGCACACTTATACCACAAAGCTTAGGGAAGCTGTCCTTAAATGGATTTGTGTGTAGGATCTCAGGCCATCAATAGCCAATGATATAACACAAAAAGCTCCTCATTCTAAATGAGTAAAATAGACATTTTATATATGCAAATAGCATATATTGAACTAATAAAACTAGAAAGACTAAGCATCTCAATTAGAAATCTTTAATAGGGTAGTTCAGATATCAATGTGATTAACCACCTTGTGCCCCCCCCTGGTGTTTCTTTAGCCCCTCAGGCTAGGTGCTGTCCATATTATTTCTCACTGCCCTTCATGCTCTCATATCATCAGCTTTTTGAATGAGTTGTCAGAGCCACTTGTGAGGATCTTCCTATGGATTCTAATAATAGGTCAATTAGAGAGCCTGATGGTTGGGGAAATGACTTTGGTAACTCCCTCCTGCACGGTATGAGCACAGTTGATGAAAGAATAGAACATTTGCTTTCTTTTCTTTGTTCATTCTGTTATTTTTTCTGCAATCCAATGAACCCTTTCTTTCCTAATGAGTTTTCTGCTCAACAGCTTATCAAGTTTGTCTCTTCCAAACTAAACAGATCAAACAAGCCTAGATCGTTGTCAGGAGACAAAGTTAAATCATTTGGGAAGGGAGTAAAAATAGCTCTAACTGAATCTCTACTGGCCTTTGGGGAAATCTAAAATATGTTCATTTTTCTTTCAAATTGGCTGGCTGGCTTCTTTCTTCACTCTCTAGCATGACAGTAAAGTGCATTTTTTTTTTTATCAATAGTGTGGCAGTATTGAGATAAGGCAGGGGCAATCCTATTTTCCTCTCCTGGATGAAGACAAGCAAAACAGTGTGGTTTGTCAGGATGGATATTTCTCTACTAAGACAGTCCCCAGAACGGTGCTACATAAATGTTATTAAACTCCACGTTAAACAGCCTGTGTGTGTGGGTACTGAGCCCAGAAGTGCCTGACAGCTAATGAATAAACATATACTGCATTTTTAGCAGGGCTTTTTGTAAGGGTATGCTGTCTGTACTTTTGGTAAAAAGACCCATTTATTTTTTGAAAGAACACATATGCTTATATGGAAACACAAGTAAACCAGGCAGAGTGTTTCCTGAGTTTATAAATAGGTAGATCTCTGATGGATTTGCCTAAAGAATTTCCAAGGGACTCAGCTTCATTCAGTTCAGAGAAATTGCTGCTGCTCCAACCCCACACTCAAGATCAGGTGGCATTTACCCATCCCAGGCCCTCTCAGGATGCTTATCTCCTTTTCAAAACATGGACTTGTGAATGCAAAGTTCAAAGGACTTTCTAAAGTTCAGTCCATTTGGTCCCTATTTGTAAAGAAAAAAAAGACCAGTAGGTATTCCCAACATAGAGTTTGGAACTGAAATGTTCATTCAGAGTAGTGGGGGCCTATGGGTGTGTGTATCCTTATTTGTGTCTGTGGGTTTACATTGTCATAGTGCCTTACAAACATTTAATACCTAGATGGAATACCTTACTTCCACCTTTTAGTGAAGGATGAAGGATGGCTTCTTACTTTTTCATCTCATGTATAATAGTGAATTTATTATACATTTTATAAAGTTTTCCATGATTTGTCTGTGGGATCTCAGGCCATCAATAGCCAATGATATAACACAAAAAGCTCCTCATTCTAAATGAGTAAAATAGACATTTTATATATGCAAATAGCATATATTGAACTAATAAAACTAGAAAGACTAGTATGTGATATAAGGATACATCTGCAATAAATTTTCAAGAATGAAAGCCACTGGGACTGGGGATGTGGCTCAAGCGGTGGCGTGCTTGCCTGGCATGCGTGCAGTCCGGGTTCGATCCTCAGCACCACATACAAACAAAGATGCTGTGTCCGCCGAAAACTAAAAAATAAATATTAAAAAATTCTCTCTCTCTCTCTCTGTAATAAAAAAAGAGAGAGAGAGCGAATGAAAGCCACTTCTCACCACACTGTGGTGTCTCTGGTTTACCAAAGTGAGAACTATTGTGAAGGGCTGGAACTTACATCACCCACCAAGCACAATGAGGCATTTGAAGGTTGAATGAGTGTAGTGATAGAGACATGCTGAGAAGGAAGTTCAGGGCAGTCAGGTTTGGTGACAGCTCTGTGGGTAAAGTCTTGGGCTCATCTTTGCATCATCACCTTGGCACTGGAACAGTGATTAACAACGGTCAGTCTGGGACTTTGAGCCTCTTGATGAACTCTGCTTTAGAACAAAGCCATCCTTCTAAGGAGGAGTTTATTGTGCTATAATGAACTGGAAGAAAGCGAAATGTAAAGGAAGGGAGATACAGGCACTCTGCTGGGAAGCAGGGTTGTTAAAAATAATGAGCAGCCTTTCACTTCCTTCTCTTTATTAACTCTCTGCAAAGGACAACCCGACACTTGATTTTTTAACACAGTCTCTCCTTTTAGTAATAGCCATCAGCAGATTGCTAAAAATGTTTCCACAACATGCTCCATGTGCCATAATACTTGGAACCACACTGCAAAACACTCAGTCTTTTCCTTCTTTTATTTTTTTCCTTTCCCTTTGTACCTCTCAGAATTGGCTTTTCTATTAACTGCCTCTATGCTAAACACAAATTTGTCATCCCTCCCACCTCTAAAGTATACAAAGCCAGCATTTGAGGGGAAAGTTGAACGCTCATAGCAAAGGGAAAGAAAATGACTTTAAATATCCAGCCTAAAGTTCCATTCATTCCAGGTTTCTCCCTTGAACTGGCCCTGCAGGATTAATTCACTTCCAGGAATCTTTAGGAAAGGTTTAGACACCTAATTGTTGGCATGGTTTTGCCTTCAGATAGGAGAAATCTGAATGAACCAGATGGTTGGTAAAAGGCCAGAATTTTAGTCTTGAAGAGATTTCTAGAATGAATTATGAAGCTAACTACCCAGAGTTAGTACTTTGTTCCCTCAGAGAATGCTGCCTCAGTGCCAAATAACAGAATTGAACTCTTGACTTTTTCCCCTTGTAGTTAACAACTTAAGCCAAGCTTTTGATCAAAGGGAAGGAAGCACAACTGCTAAGACCCAAAGAAATTGTCAGCTTGACCATAAGTCTCTGTGACTGGGGATCCAAGTGACTCAGCCTTCCAGTGATCAGAGGATGAAAGAGGAAGTAGTGGTATTGGGGCACCTATCAGATGTCAGGACCCTGTCAGATACTTTATGACACTATTTCATGGAATCCCCATACTAACCCCAAGAAGTTGTCATTTTCAGTCATGAGTGAATGACACATAGAAAGTCAACATTTATTCACTCACTCATTTAACAAATATTTATTATACAATGATCATCACCCAGGCACAGTGCTGGATGGTGAGGCTACAATGATAAAATGGAGAGAAGCAGCGATTACATTCATAAGGCTCACAGTTTACTTAGGATGATTGCTAAGTGTATCTGTAAACCTGGGAGTGTTTCAGAAGGGGAAATATAAGGTGATAAGCAGCTATAGAAAATAGGCCATTTACTCAACCAGTCAACACATGACTATTGGAAACACTAAGATACCACTTGGCTTTTGGCTTCAGAAACCAAGTAGTACTCTTATCAAGATATAATCCTACCTCTCCTGAATGCACCCTTGGTTAATATATTACTTATTAAAGGCAAAATAAGAGAGAAAGATGTGTATTGTTAAAATAACCACAAATATGAATGCTCACATAGGTAGAGCAAAACCATACTTCAATGAAATACTGGAGTCTATGAATATCTGCTAGAACTTTCTGTGCTAGTAGAAATGTGTTATATCTGTGATATACATGGACATATGGTTAGGAGCACATGAAAAGTCTCTTCATGTGACTGAGGCACTGAATTATTTTAATTAATTCAAAATTTAATTTTAAGAGTCATATGTGGTTAGTAACTATCATATTTGAAAACATAGTTATAATTTCCATGGGGCATGAAGCACTCTGAAACTTGTTTCCTCCCCATTGTCTTTGGAGAGGTTTGGGCATGCCAGACTAAGAAGCCTGTGGCAATTTGTTTCTGCTACGGTCATACTGAGACTCCCCATTCCACAGGAGCCTTGTATTTTGGGGATAGCTCCAAGGAAGATATTAGATGGCTATAAGAAACCAAGTCCAATCTAGAGTCCAATTAGATTCAATCCTAACTAGACCTGGATTTGTTTTTAAACCATACTATCCTCTTGGTGTTGGTGTTAGTCAATCTGGAGAAATTCAGCATTGGGCCATTTCAGGGAAAAAGAAATTTCTTTCTGGTTCTCTTGCAACAGCTCAATTGTAGAGGATAACCGGGATCCCAAGGTCAATCAGAATAGGAGAAAAAGGGTGGATCTTAGGTATCTGGTCACATATATCAAGGTGGATTCAAGTTCTCCTGAGATCAGAGAGGTAGCTGTAAGAAAGATCACCCCTCCCCCCAACACAGTCACATTCACAAGCCTTTGGGTGCTGATGTCTCTTGGTGACCATGTGTCTTGACACTGTTATTTTGCTAGGAGTCCTAATCAGAGAACAAAGTAAAGAAGAGGTGATTTAAACCTGAAAGAAATGAAACTTAATTTGTTTTAGATCCTTTTGTCAAAGCAACTTACTCATTACACGAGTTTGTTTTAAATAAAGAAATGCTATCTATCAAGCAGTAAATTATATTAGTCCTGCTGGATATTAATGTATTCAATGACAACATCGACTCCACTGCTGCTGACTTCAGCTTCTACTTTTGGTTTATCCTGTCGCCTCAGAGACATTCTTTCAGCTCTAGATATTTTTCTTAGTAACATAGGTATAGTTTAAATCCCTCTTGGATGGCAATGAATTGACCATTCTTTCTCTCTGCTTAGGTCTCCTGGCTACTACCACCTCAGCCAATTACTTGACCTCACCACTTCCCCCTCCCCACTGTGAACTGATGCACACTTTTCTGACATGACTGCAGTTCATTACTAATTGGGCATTACTGACAGACTGCTGCCTCCAGGCCTGCCATGGGTCTGGCTGCCACCTCAGGAAGCAACATGAATCAGCATCATGATTATCGCTTGCTTTATTCTTAAGGAAAGGAAAGGAACCAGACCTTTAAAAACATACTATGTGTTGTATTTCAGTATGCTGTCCAGTTGCCAATTCTTCTTTCAAAAATTGGCCCTATGCAAACACTATTTAAAAGAAAGTTGGCTTGGGGTATGACTGATATCAGATCATTTCATGAGATAATAGTAATAAAAGTTTCATTTATTGGAAGCCAGTAATGTGCTAAGCATATTATTGAAACATCCATTGTTGTATTCAGTTTTCACAATGACCAGTAAACTTTAAAACTTTTTTTTTCTGTTTTTCAGATGAAGAAATAACATTTATGAGTCTAAACAACCTGTGGAAGGTCACAGTTTGGAAGTCACAAACTCATCTAACTCCTGTAGCCAATGCTGTTTCCATCCTGATGGATCAACTTCTGGGGTGCAAGGTTCCACAGAGGAGATAGAGATGGGAATGAAGAAAGGAGGGACCAAGTATGTCAAGGTGTCTAACTTCACAAGGTCAGTTGAAAGTGATAAAGTGTCGTCTGTCTTTCAATACTGATGTCACTTAATTTTGCCTCACACAGTACTAGGCACAAATGAGGCACTTGCTGAATGAAATAAATGTTTAAAAATCTGTCCTGAAAATATATTTTCAAGCAAGATTTAGACACAAACATTGTACTAAGCTTGCCCTGGAGAGAGCAAGCATGCAAAGGTCTTTCCTTTTGTGGGCTTATTTTTGGGCGTGGGATAGAATAGAAAACAGTAATCAGAGCAATGAGCAAAATAATTTCAGATGGTGCCAAAGTGCAAGGGGGAAAAAAAGACAGTGTAAGGTGACCCAATGCTCTGAGTGCCTATGAATGCACAGGAGCACTAATTTAGACTCAGTGGTCTGCAGTGTTCTACTAAGAGGCCAACACCCAAGGAACCTTCAAGATCTGTAAGAAGACTGTGCCAAACAAAGGGAGCATCTCACTAAGTGGGTAGTACAGAAAGAAAAATTAAAGGTGCTTCCCGGGGTTTAAATTCAGCAACTGGCTGGACCTTGATGATTTACTGAAATTGGAAGACCTGGAGGAAGCAAATTGTGGAGGGGGAAATGTAAGAGTTTTTTTTATTTTAATTTCCAAAAGGCATTTCAATAATGCTTACTTTTACCAGGTAGACTCTAAATACAATGTCTTATTTCTGCATATTTCTATGAAAAGTTGATACATTTAGTGAATCCATCATTTTCATTTTAAATAAAAAGATACAAGTTATGTTCATAATTATTCTTTTTAAATTAGTTCTATTTTACCAGTCTGAATAATAGACAAATGAAAATCTTTAGGAAATTATTTCTAGTTTTTCAAACTCTGCAGTGTATTTTTTAACTACCAAATTGTATTCTTAAGCATATTTTTTTAAAGAAATGCCATATGAAGCCAAAATTCATGTTTCTGTGAATCTTATCAAAAAGGTGCATAAAGGCTTACAATAAACTTTTCATTTTTTAATGCCACCATGTTCCTTGAACTTGAAGATTATGAATTAGGAAAATATTTCATTTGAAAAACCTAATGGTTTTATAAAGTGAGTCCTGGGAAAAACAACATCATAGTCACATTATTACAGTACAACTGTATGATGAAATTACTATGAAGGTGCAAGATAAGACAATTCTTTACCCTTTGTAGGGAAAAGAGTTAAATTTCTTAGCCTAGTCTTGCAAGAAGAAAGATTTCCCTTAGAAGCAAAGATTAGGGCTGTTGGAAGGGAATTCCAGGCAGATACAGGTACAAATGTATCAATTGAGAACCTGACAGCTATGTGACTAGAAAATTTAACATCTTCTATCTTAAGAGAAAAATAACAATTCATTTAAAAGTCTTAGGATCTAATCTATTTTGATGTTTTGTTTCATTTTACATAAGTATTTTTGCTCTCCCAGTGTTACCAAATGATGCCCATTTTGTCCACAATACAGAATGCCAATCACTGAAACAAAACAAGTTGTGCAAAAGAGATTTTACTCATACAGCACCAGTCCTGATAAGGCAGTAGCTCCAAATCTCAAATCCACTTCAAATCCACTTCCCAGCAAATAGACTTTAGTGGTGTTCATGGGATGAAGAAAATAGGGTTACCTAAGGTAGGGGGTAGGGTAAAGATGCCTGGAATAAGAAAAGGGGTGGTAATGATGGTCTACACATGCCTGAACAAATTTATAGCTCTTCATTGGCCTTGTTCAGAAAATGGCTGAGTAAGTGTGATATAGGGTTAGGGTTTTGGCCCTCTGATGTCAGAAAGTTACCCACTGGACAACACTGGACTATGCCCTGACCCAAGTCAAGGGTAGGTGTTTTTAACCAGTTTGAGATAGGCTAAAGCAACCTTTGAATTCCTAAGAAAATACTGAAGCAATTACAACAATAAGTCAGAGATGTTACCCATAGCAACGCCAATGGAGAAATACTGCTTAGCTCTCTGACTCCCAAAATTGGCAATGAAAGCAAGTAACTGAAAGCAAAAGAAGCTAGATGGTTTATTCAGGTTTTCCCTTGGATTCACCAATTTTAAAACAACTTCTCAACATCAGAAATAACAGCAAAATTTTAAATGTTGATTGGCTTATAAAGCCATTATTTATTACCTCAACACTATTCTGAAGATATTAGTTGAAAATTATAAAGATAATTATTTAAATAGTTGGAAGAATAACAGTGCATTTGCCAGAGTTCTAATACTTGCATAAACAAAATAACTGGGCAATCGACTGAAGCATTTATTATTTAATGAGATACTTTAGTGCTTTCAGCACTCTCTCCTATAAATATATCATTTTAGCATAAATGCCTTGTAATTTATAATTTTCATGTTCTTGGAGATTCTTATAAGTTAAAAGCATCTTCTATAACAAATTAAATTTGAACATAAAGTATGTTTCAACTAGTTCTTTGACCTAATGATTTACTCTTCACAAGTGCCAAAGAATACTGACTTCATTCAAAGATGATTATAAAATCTAAACATTTTAAAATGTGAAGGCTGTATAACTTGGCAAATTTGTACTGACTAGTCATTTTAATAATTTTTTAAAAATTTTGTTAATGATGGTGCTCTAGATATCTAACTTCCCTTCTATACTAGATTCAGCTGTTAACCATTGTTTATAGCCTTTGATGATTTCTCCTCTTAATCCTGATTGTGAAGGCAGTAGATTATGCAAATTACTAACAAATCTCCTACTGATAAGCTATGCAAATGAAGCACCAAGTGAGTGGCTATATTCTTTTATCATTAATCAGTTGATTTAACTCTCCTAAAAAATGCAAGATGACATGATTGACCCCAACTTGCAAGCCTCCAAAGATCATTTATGTTGTCAATAATGTAGCCAAGAAAGCAAATGCATATTATTTGCATTTAGTTTTTAAAAGCCTGGAAGTTTTCAGTTGTCCTTGCAAGGGCTCCAGATTCTAGCCTCTCTCTGTTATATCTGCACCATCTATAATATCATTAGAATCCTAAGCAAACCCTGAGGAGGGGGAGTTGGACTTACTCAGTATGCAAAGCAACAATAGATGAGTTTTCCAGACAAGAGTTCTGAGAAAGAAAACCTGTTGGGAAAGAAAAGAGGGAAAGGTTTCAAGTATTGTTTGTTTTCTTTTCTAACTTGGCTTTTCCACACTCCTTTTTCTGAGAAGCCATTTGTATGTACAAATCACTTCGGTTTATTTTTAAAACCCACACACAGAGAGATGTTGTTTTGTTGTGGTTACATCCTAGTCAGTAGAGGCCCAAAGCTTCCCATCGTGAGAGGAAATGAAGGCTGGCTGGATCTTTAAGGAGTCTCTTAATGCACGTGGCTCCTTTCATCTCATGCCTGTGATAGCTGTGATTCAGTCCCTGGTTTATTTGCAAAGGTAGCTTACCGAGAAAATTGAACACAGGCTAGGAGGTGAGTCCCACAAATGGAACAAAGTTTGCATGTTTATTAAGAAGAAAAAGGACAAAGCAATTTCTTCCCTCACATGAAGAAAACCAATCTGCTATGTTGCAGGAGTCCTACAACTAGTAGAACCAAGGCACTTGGATGAGACAACAGAACATCAAGATAGATCAGATTCCAAAATTTACAAATAAAAAATTTTGAGGTGCATATGCCCAGAGAAGACCAAATTTTCCAGTTGTGTGGCAGACTACGTACTCCAACAGTTTCATGTTTTTGTGCCTATGTGGACCTGGAATGCCCTTCCTGCAGCCAGAAGGACTGCCTGAGAAGAAAAGACATTTTCTTCCAAGACTGAGCTAAGACTCTCCTCAGCCTTGATTCTCTCCTCCTAAAGGGCAGAGGGTTATCTTTTCTGGTCACCTCTGTAGCTCTTGCTGCATTATAGTATTACTGTTGGACAGCCTGGCCTCCAGATTAAATTAGACTGAGCTTCATGAGGTTGGAGATCTGCGTAGGTACTTGAAGAATCGAGGAACCATGGTCTATCAGGTATCCAAATTTGGGTTCAGAAAACTGGATCATTCTAAGACTGGTTTGAATCTCTCCCTCTAATGATACACTTTCTGCCACTTAGTACTACTGAGCAAGTGCAAACTGGTCAACCCTGAATGGGAATTGAACCACTTTAGTACTCGATATGTTTCTCAGGAACAGAAACCACAACTAATAACAACTAATAATTGAAGAAAGTGAACTGGGAAAGGGAGAGATAATATTATCAGACAAAGACAAGTTATGTGAAAAATTTTCAATAAACTCACTGTGGTTAATCTGAATTGTCAACTTGATTGGACTCAGAGATGCTCAAGATTAAGAGGCTTCTGGGTGTGTCAAGGAGGGTGCTTCTAGGAATCATTGACACGTAGGACAGCAAACTGAGGGAAAGACCCACCCTAAATGTGGATAGCACAGTCCTATATGTTAGGGGCCTGGACAGAACAAAAAGGTGAAAGATCAAGGAGGCAGCAGAAGAGAGGATTCCCCATTCTTCTTTGGAGTGGGTTCCATTGCTGCTGTGTTGCAACGAGGACATGAGACTCCAACTTCTTCACTCTTCAGAGCAGGTTCTCACTGGTGACTCTCCAGGGAATTTCCAGGTTTTCTGTCCTGGACCAGGACAGCATCATTGGTTCCTCTGGTTCTGAGGCTCCAGCTTCTTAGACTGAGCCACTACTGGTTCCTCCAGTTCTCCAGCTTTCCATCATTGTCAGTCTGATATATATATATATATATATATATATATATATATATATATATATATATATATATATATATATAGAGAGAGAGAGAGAGAGAGAGAGAGAGAGAGAGAGAGATAAATGATTTTATATATATATATATCACCTGTTGGTTCTGTTTCTCTGAGAACCCTAACAACTCAATATCAGCCGTACAGATTCCTACCTTGCTTTATTCCTTTCTTGTTTTTTCTTTTATGACCTGTTTTATTCAATAATTTAAAATGATGTTCCCACTATGATATAAAACCAATTTTTCTTGCTGTATTTTTAGTTTTTTGTTGTTGTTGTTGTTTTATTTTTTAAATACATGACAGTGGAGTGCTTTATTCCTTTCTGACCAGTACTTCCACAAATTGCCTAAGAAACCATTAAAGTTCTGAGTTTTTTAAAGAGATTATTTTAAAGAGATTATTCTTCTTTGAAGAAATGTGTTTTAAACCCATAGGGGACATGCTGATCTTACATTATGGTCTCTCTAATACCCATATTTAGGTATATGCAAGAATATTTAACAATTGGAAATAAAACTTTAATACAGTATTTATCAATAAATAATTTTAAAATATTCCGTCACTCTCTTTTGTCAGTAGTTTAAAAAGATGTCCCTGTCTGAACTATAAGACAGAAATCTTGCCTCTTGCCTTATTAAACTGATAGTCATTAGGTTCACTTGTAGTTTTTGACAGCCAGCAAGAGGCTGGGTATGCTGAGTCTATACCCTGACAGCCTGAAACTTGGACCCACCCAGCATATACTGTTATCGTCACCATCTGGCCAATCTCTCCTTATCACCCATATTGATGCTGAGCCTCACTCCCCACCCCTGTCAGCATTTGGAGATGTGCACACAGATACAAATGCCCCTCCTATTTGAGACCACTCTGCAGCTAGCTAGGGTCATCCTCATCTGCAGAACACTCTAAGCCCCAATATGCATTTTATCAACTGACATTTGGGTTCCATACAGTAAACCATTTACCAACTGGTTCTGATGCCTTATATTTCAACTTTTTAATGAATGATATGTTTGTAGTAGCGGTGAAAATCAGCTCTGCCTAGAAGGTTCTGGTCTTTATACATGACCAACAGTAAAAGTCTAATTTTCTTCAGCTAGCCAAGTAGCCATCTGGTATTTATACCATAATTTCTAGAAACTTGGTTTTGACATGAGGTCAGAAAGAGAATAGATAACTACTTATATCATTCAATTTTTTTTAATGAATTAAATAAAAATGAGCACTTGTACAAATTAAATACATTTTATCTCATCCAGTCTTTATATCAATCCTGTTTTCAGGTAAAATCATCATTTTATAATTGGGAAAGCTGAAGTGCAGAGAAATTAAATTGCCCAAAATTCATATGCTCACTTCAGAATTCAACCACTATGATATACCATCTTCCTATTAAGTAAATGGTTCTCTAAATGACCAGGTTTGTGTACTGAAGTGAACAGAAATATGGTTTGAATTATGATTTCCTCACTTACTAATTGAACCTCTGAAAAAATTACTTTACCACTGTAAGCTTTAATTTTCTCACCTCCAAATCAGAAAGAATAAACTTTCTTTGACATAGTTATTATGAGAAATAAACAATATAATAAACAGACAATTATTACTATTGTACCTGGAACATAATAATTCTTTCATGAAAATTAATTCTGCTCTGTAAAATGCCTCTCATTAGCACTATGTGGGCAGGAACCATATCAGGCTCATCCTCATAATTACAATGATAAGGATAATACTAACTACTGTAGACCAAACCCTTGGCACATGGCAGGCACTGCTCTACTCTTTTACTTAGAATAACTCATTCAATCCTTTCAACTATCTTCTATATACATGAGATTAGTATTATCCTAACTTATACAGGTGAGGAAACAGGAGCAAGAAAATCATGTAACTCACTCAACATCATCCATAGATGGCAAGTGGTAGACCCTGAATTAAAATTTAAACCAGGCACACTGGCTCTAGAGTTTGTGCTTTTAACCACTGTTCACTCTTAGTGCTCTAGAGTTTCAATAAATATTTGTAGAGGAATTGTAATCCTGAAATTATACAATTATTATTTGTTGTGTTAATTTTTAGCTTTCTAATCCCTAAGAAATATGAAGCTGATATTAGACCACTAATATGTTTTTTCATTTGAATGTTGATGAATTTGTTTATTGGTCCTATAAAGATAACAAGTTTGAAAGGACAGAGAAAATTACAAACAACAAAAACAATAAATATGGGCTAGGAAAGAGATACAGTTAAGAAGCCATACCAAACATGAGAGCCCAAGCTGGGGTTCGAATTCTATTAGCCTCATGAGAATCTAATACTTCCCAAGTCTTAAATATTAGCTATAATCTTTTTAATTGCTATGATTGGAAGAAAAGATAACAATGGTATTTCTTTCTAGAATATTTATAAACATTTTAGCAGGTAAAATACAAAAAAATAATAATTTGATTGTAGTTTTTCTTTCTGTCTGTATTGTCTCAAGAATACATAAAATATGTAATCCTAGTCACTTGGGAGGCTGAAATAGGTGAACCTCAAGTCCAAGACCAGCTTCAGTAAACTTAGTGAAACGCTGTCTCAAAATAAATAAATAAATAAATACCCTCACACCTCAGATAGAGCACTAATCTCTAGGGTATTTAAAAAACTCAAAAAGCTAGACACCAAAAAAACAAATAACTCAATCAATAAATGGGCCATGGACCTGAACAGACACTTCTCAGAAGATGACATACCATTAGTCAACAAAATAGGAAAAATATATTCATCATCTCTAGCAATTAGAGAAATGCAAATCAAAACCACTCTAAGATTTCATCTCACTTAGTCAGAATGGCAGCTATTATGAAAACAAACAACAATAAGTGTTGGTGGGGATGTGGGGAAAATGGTACACTCATACACTGCTGGTGGAAATTCGGATTGGTGCAGCCAATATGGAAAGCAGTATGGATATTTCTTGGAAAATTGGGAATGGAACCCCATTTGACCCAGCTATCCCTCTCCTTGGACTATACCCAAAGGACTTAAAAACAGCATACTACAGGAACCACAGCCACACCAATGTTTATAGCAGCAAAATTCACAACAGCTAAACTGTGGAACCAACCTAGATGCCCTTCAGTAGATGACTGGATAAAAAAAACAAAATGTGGCATATATACACAATGGAATATTACTTAGCAATAAAAGAGAATAAAATCATGGCATTTGCAGGTAAATAGATGGAATTAGAGAAGATAATGCTAAATGAAGTTAGCCAATCCCCAAAAAACAAATGCCAAAAGTTTTCTCTGATATAAGGAGGCTGATTTGTAGTGGGATAGGGAGAGGGAGCATGGGAGAACTCTAGATAGGGCAGAGGGGTGGAAGGGGCAGGGCCAGGGCATGGAGTTAGAAATGATGGTGGAATGTGATGGACATTATTATCCAAAATACATGTATGAAGACATGAATTGGTGTGAATATACTTTGTATACAATCAGAGATATGAAAAATTGTGCTCTATATGTGTAAAAAGAATTGTAATGCATTCTGCTGTCTTATATAAATTTTTTAAAAAGCAAAAACCAAATAAACAAACAGGCCTGGGGATGTAGCTCAGTGGTAGAGAACTCCAGGTTCAATCCCCAGTACTATCAAAAAATTACATAAAATATTATCAATAAGTTAAAAAAAAAGTATGTGCATCTTAGAAAAAGAAAACCCTCTTGTATAAAAAATGTTTGAAAATCCCATCTAAGGTAGAAGCACTGCTTTAATAAAAAGATAATCCTCTTTGACAAAATATCTACTTTTAATACTTCATCCAAGTTATCTTTTAGTCTTATGTCAATTTAGAATTTGTTCATATAACATATTATAATAGGCCATTTGAAAACTGAGACACAAATACTACTAATCTTAGTTCTTATTTATTAAAACATAGTATTTGTGAAATAATTCCATGCAATGAATTTGCCACTGTATTTTCTCATGTTTACTGTGATGGAAATTGTGAACTTGACCAGGATGACACAGATTTGACTATGTATCCTTTAAGGTGGTCAGAATCCTTTTTAGACCTGTGAGGTGGCCTAATTGACCGGTCACATTACTCAGCATTAAAAAAGAACAAAATCATAGCATTTGCAGGTAAATGTATGGCATTGGAGAAAATAATGCTAAGTGAAGTCAGCCAATTCCAAAAAAATAAGTGCCAAATGTTTTATCTGATATAAGGGGGGTGACTCATAGTGGGGTAGGGAGAGAGAGCATAGGAGGATTAGATGAATTCTACATAGGAAAGAGGGGTGGGAGGGAAAGGGAGGGGGAAGGGGATTAGCAAGGATGGTGGAATGTGATGGTCATCATTATACAAACTACATGTATGAAGACTTGAATTGGGTGTCAACATATCTTGTATACAAAAAGAGATATGAAAAATTGTGGTATCTATGTGTATTAAGAATTGTAATGCAAAAAAGTACATGTATAATGGCATAAATTGACGTGAACATATTTTATATACAGAGATACAAAAAATTGTGCTCTATGTGTGTAATAAGGATTGTAATGCATTCCACTGTTGTGTATTTTTAAAAAATAATAAAATCAATTAAAAAATACTAACTTTTGAAACTAAAAGTCTTAATGCAAGTCATCTCAATCCAATGTCTGCTGTATTAATCACAATACAAATAGCTAAATATCAGGATATCCGAATGATATTTTGTGGAAAGGGAAGGATCTGAAGGCTGTCAAAGCTTGATGTACTTATAACCTGAAAGCTGACTCACATCAACTTTGACACTATTGTTCTACAGGAAATGCTCATCTTTGATCTTATCTTGAAATTTTGAAAGTAGTATCATTACTTTGCATTTGTTTGAGAGGTAATAAATGAGAAACAAGAATACAAGCTATTTTAAACTTAGAAAACATTCTCAAGTGAGAAATTCAGAAGGCAAGTAGA